TTTTCAGCTTAAATATGACAGAATCCTGAGGCTAATTATCTCCTTTCCTCCCTGTGATGGGGATTTCTCAGAGCAGGAGAATATTAACTGAGACTTCGACCTGCTCACTGAGAACGTGCAGAGAAAAACAGTCAGCTTGGTGAGGGAACAGCCGCCCCAGGGAAGGTCTATGGACTTCCACACACACATATTCATTCATTCATTTACCCATGAATGTCTTACCCCTTATCTCCCACGTAAATTCCCATCAGCCACACCTAATAGTTTATATAGTTCCTGAGGGAGCCCACGCTCTCTCACAGCCGTGTTTCTGGAGATGCACTCCTCCGTTTGTGTACTCTTCCCCAGTCCCCACCATTAAGACCGAGGAAAATTCTCTCCTTCACAGTGAACTCCTTCCTCCCCACCATCTCTCCATGGAAGGTAGTTATTCCCTGTTGGGTAAATTATTGAATTAGTAACACTTACCACATGAATTAGCACTCAACGACAAATAACCAGGTGGAAAATTGGAAGACATTTTCAGGTTAGCAAAAGTGCTTTAAAAATGAAATTTGGCGCACTTTCTGCAAGACCCAAATAAAATCAAATACTGAGGTTTAATAGCTCTTAGACTCTGCTAGCTAGAGAATCGTCTGTGGTCTTCTTTTTTCTTTTTTAATCCTCACCCTAGACATATTATTGATTTTGATTTTATTTTTTAAAATTATGCTTTTATTGATTTTAGAGAGAGAGGAAGGAAGCAGAAGAGAGAGAGAGAGAGAGAGAGAAACGTTGTGGGCTGCCTCCTGCAAACTCCCCCTACTGGGGATTAAACCCACAACCCGAGCATGAGCCCAGACGGGGAATTGAACCAGTGATTTTTTTGGAACATGGAACAATGCTCAACCAACTGACCCACACAGTTAGAGTTGTTTATTTATTTTTAGAGCGAGAGGAAGGGAGAGAGGGAGAGAGAGAGAGAGAGAGAGAGAGAAACATCTATGTGAGAGAGAAACACCGATCGGTTGCCACCTCTATATGCCCCAACCAGTGATCCAAACCACAGCCTAGGTATGTGCTCTTACAGAGAATTGAACCCACAACCTTTAGGTGTAAGGGACTACTCTCCAACTACCCAGGCCTGTGACTAAGGGGGCAGTTGCTTGGCATTGAATATCACTAAAGAGGAGGAGGATGGGATGGGCTAGAGAATTTTAGAAAACAGTGTGTTGGAGGGTTACCTTCAGAATTGTGACACAGGTCCAGTTGGTTGCTAGCTCCTCTCCCACTTCACCTCTGCCTCCCCCTGAGAAAAAAATAGTTACCCTATGTTCCCCAACTTCTGCCACCAAAGGGCCTGTCTTCCCCTCCCATCACATGAATCCTTTTATGTGCCAACCCCCAGGCAGGCTGGTTAAACCAATCTGCGCCAATATGACTAAATATTCCTGTTATCTTTCAAGTGGCACTTCATTTTAACAGGAACTTTCTAAAAATAGAGCTGAACCAAAAAAAAATAACCACATGGAATAATTTAGGCCCCTTGGAACATGACAACAAAGACAGGCAGGAACCACACCAGCATATCAGCCACCTTCTCCTAGCAGGAGAGGCCAGCCCTACATGCGCAGCCCTGGGCCAAGGAGAATGCTAGGTTTTCACTCCTCCACACAAGGCACTACATATAGTTGGTCAGTGCACAACGTGTACAACCCACCACTCATACCAGCCTGCCCTCAATGGTCCATGAGTCTTCCCTCTCTACAGCAAGAGCGCAGCCACCACCAACCAAGGGAAGATTTCTCACTATTGAGCCCTCCTACCATAGAGGTAAATACTTGGTACCCCAAAAACAAGTTGGCCATGGAGCCACATTTGTAATCACCGGCAACTAAAAGAGGCAGAGGTTGCTCCCTGCCTCACAGTCCATAGGATTTTGTTTTCCTTTCTTTCTGCCATAGGATTTAAGCACAAATCAGAGTAGAAGGACAGCAGGTTGCAGCTGAGACCTATGTGCAATATAAAATAATGCAGCAACTCCTGAACTTGATGTACATCAGGATTATTAAAGCTGCTTGTGAAATTGGCAGGTCCCTGACTCCTACCACCAGATGCTGATTCTGTAGGTCTAGAATGAAGCCTAGAAATCTGCATTTTCTTGGCACCCCTGCTTATTTTGAAGCCAGTTATGCAAGATTACTCCTTGAGAAACATTGAGACAGTGCATGCAAAACACTCGACTCAAAGCCGGGCACATTACAAGTGTTCGATACTTGCTAGCTATAATTAATAAGAATCAGTAACCATCCCAACGCCATATCCTCTACTTAGACTTGACCTTTTGCTAAGTGCAAACTGCACATGGGTGTGGCAGTGTGATAGGAAGCCAGGAGCTGGTTTAGTGCAAGGAAAGAGAAATGAAAAGA